TCCTTTACAATCCCTACACCACACCACAGACCCTACACAACAACCACTACACCACAGACCCTACACAGCAACCCCTACACCACAGACCCTACACAACAATCCCTACACCATACCACAGACCCTACACAACAATTCCTACACCACAGATCCTACACAACAACCCCTACACCACAGCACCCTACACCACAACCCCTACACCACAGCACCCTACACCACAGACCCTACACAACAATCCCTACACCACAGACCCTACACCACAGCACATTACACCACAACACCCTACACCACAGCACCATACACCACAGCAACCTACACAACAACCCCTACACCATACCACAGACCCTACACAACAACCCCTACACCACAGACCCTACACAACAATCCCTACACCATACCACAGATCCTACACATCAACCTCTACACAATACCACCCTACACCACAGACCCTACACAACAACCCCTACACCACAGACCCTACACCACAGCACATTACACCACAACACCCTACACCACATCACCCTACACCACAGCACATTACACCACAGCACATAACACCACCGCACCCTACACCACAGGCCCTACACAACAACCCCTACACCACAGACCCTACACAACCCCTACACCACAGCACATTACAACACAGCACCCTACACAACAGCACCCTACACCACAGCACCCTACATCATACCACCCTACACCACAGCACCCTACATCACAGCACCCTACACCACATCACCCTACACCACAGTACCCTACACCACAGCACCCTACACTATACCACCCTACACCACAGCACCCTACACCATACCACCCTCGAACCATACACCACAGCACCCTACCACCCTACATCACCCTACACCACAGCACCCTACATCATACCACCCTACACCACAGCACCCTACATCACAGCACCCTACACCACATCACCCTACACCACAGCACCCTACACCACAGCACCCTACACCACAACCTCTACAGCATTCCACCCTACATCACAGCACCCTACACCATACACCACAGCACCCTACCACCCTACACCACAGCACCCTACACCATACCACCCTACACCACAGCACCCTACACCACAGCACCCTACACCATACCACCCTACACCACAGCACCCTAACCATACCTACCTAAACCACAGCACCCTACACCATACCACCCTACACCACAGCACCCTACACCATACCACCCTACACCACAGCACCCTACACCATACCACCCTACACCACAGCACCCTACACCATACCTACCTAAACCACAGCACCCTACACCATACCACCCTACACCACAGCACCCTACACCACAGCACCCTACACAACAACCCCTACACCATACCACCCTACACCACAGCACCCTATACTTTTTCCAAACCAGTCTGTATTATTGGTTTACTACCATGAAGATGAAGAAAACGAAATGTCTGACCGTTATTGCTTCACACGTGGCTTATAATGCATATCACAACACCTTTGATCAACAACGGCAAGGCAGACACCTGGCAATTCCAGAATGCCTTGCAATGTTTGAGTACGTGTAGAGGGACATGTTTCGTTCTTGTCCTGTACTTTAATTCAGTTTACAAAGCACAGACCGGGCAGCAGTCTACCATTTCCTTTAAAAACAATTTGGCTGAAGAGAATTATACGATGGCAGGGTACATCAGGCCGCAGAGCGCAATTACTGGAATTAAATACCCGAACCCCAGCATCATGTAACTGGATCGTCTATTTAAGTCTAATGTTCTTAGGTAACACAACCCTGTGTGTGAACCAGGGTCTATTCCTGGACTGTGAACACGCACCACCGTACCGAGGTCACACATCTTGGTTACTGATCGGCATGGGGAATTAAAGGTTACACTTCTGGCGCAGGATGAGCCGTCAATCATGTTACAATTGTAGATTTCCCAATCAATCTGTCTCCTGCTCGAATAGGTCTGAAACATTTCTATCATTTGTAAACGGCTTACCCAATAGCTGAATATACAGACCATCATCGTGGAAGGCGGCATACAGACACACGATACGCATGAAAAGGACTTTCGGTGACCGAGTCGGACGTAACGAAATGGTGGGACTGTGTTTGAGATCATGGACGCGTTCTAGAATGCTTGGAATCCATGACCACTTGGAGGCCGACCTTATCAATCTGTAATTGTCCGAGTAGGTTCTTTACGTCTGTAAGACAACCGACGGATCCAGAATCACGCAGAGTGCCTGTTGGTTTGGACAATCGCTGTCTCATATATCGAGACTTCCAGTAAGTTGGCAAACCGACGTTGGATTGAAGAGATCACTTTCGGTAATTCCTCATGCATTTATTCACAGTGTCAAGACAATTGCCTTCAATTGAGACCGTAGACTTTATTTGCTCTGACACAGAACCTGTGTGGGTATGCATGCATTAGAAGAGCTATAGTCTCGATAAACAAGCGACCCCAACAAGACAGGCATCGGGAGAATATGTAATGAGATTAGACGATTATGTCACATTAACTGCGTCGGGAAAGACAAAGTTCCCACCACTAATGTCAAGATAGTACAACGTGCAGTATGGGGGTCTTTATCGGCTTAACTTAATTCCAACATCAATTCTGGTTAGACTGCAATATTCACCGCGGATGCCGATAATGTCTTCATTATAGCAGCAGAAACGTCACATTTGAAGAGCAGTGGGTTTACACAACGATTCTCTGAAGCTGGTAGTAATTGGGTTTGCGGCGGTTGAAAATGCTAATGGACTAGGCAAGTAGTTTGTCACATAACAGACTTCCACGCCACCCGTCTTGTTTTCATAACTCCTACAACTGGACATAAAGACTGCCTTCTTCGATAGCGTCAGAGTTGGGTGTTTTAATAACTCTCGATGAGGAACATGGCGTCGTATACGAGACTGGCTGCGGATGGTCGCATGTATATTGAGGATACGATGGACGTATGTTTCGGATGCTTATAAAGTAAGGTGTGGCGAAGGGTTCTTATATAATGTACCTGTGTAGGGTGTTGTATCGGGGGATTGAATAGGCTGTTTATAAAGGGGGCGATTTCATGGTGTTTAATTGTGGAGTTGTACGGGTGTCTAGAATGTTGAATGGGTTTGTTTGTTTGTTGTTCAACGCCGCACTCACCAATATTCCAGCTGCATTGCGGTGGTCTGTAAATTATCGACTCTGGACCATTACGAGCATCAATCCACACAATTTGAGTACGATGACATGCATCAAATAAGTCAGCGACCCTGACCACCCGATCCCGTTAGTCGCCTCTAACGGCAGGCATGGGTTGCTTAAGACCTATTCTTGCCCGGATCTTCACGGGTGGCGTTGAATGGGCGCCTACTTTGGGTGCCTACTTTGGGTGTTTATGTATGGTATTGTTTGTTGTATATAGTGCTCACACTGTTCCTATATAGTGCTTGAGTGAGTGAGTGGGTATGGTTTTACTCCGCTGTTAACAATATTCCAGTAATATCACGGCGGAGGACACCAGAAAACCCCAAACCATGATGAATACCTCAACATACTTCAGTAAATTAACAACGTTAATCCCTCAAAATTATGTACATTCGTTATGTAGTGAGAAAGGGACTTTGAGGTAAATGCAAAGTCTAAACTCTAAGTAGCCCATTTTTAAGCGAGGGGCGGTCGGGTAGCCTAATGGTTCGAGCGGTCGCTCGTCACGCTGAAGGCCCGGGTTCGATTCCCCACATGGGTACCGTGAGTGAAGCCCAATGCTGGTGTCCCCCGCCGTGATATTGCTGGAATATTGCTAAAAGCGGCGTAAAACCACACGCACTCACTCACGCACTCAGTGAGTGAATGAGTCAGTGAGTGAGTCACTTTAACGCCGTTTAAACAGTATTTCAGTTACATCCCGACCCGTCAGCTCATGTGGAGGGACAACAAAAGAAGAGAAACAACGACCCAACAAATCAGAAACAATAAAAAAACACAAGGCTCATTTTCATCAAAAAACACATTCCCGGTCTGAATTGAAAGTAATACTGAAACAAGATTCTCTAGTTCACGTGACTATCACAACACCAGGTGGCGGAAGTCACGGCCCTTGTGCATATGATACTTGGTATCAAGTTATATACCTCAGTGTAGAAATATTTGTCAAGGTCGGCGTGACGTGTGGACTACACGCAGAGGAATATGTACGGGTTATAGTGAAATCATGCAGGTACACTGTCAAGCTTATTCAAATCATATCTTAGTTCTCGCTACTGCTAAAGTCTGATTTTAATTATACTGGTTCACTATTGACCAAATGGATTTGGTTTGTTTTTTTGTTTAATGCCCCACTAAGCAATATTCCAGCTATATGACGGCGGTCTGTAAATAATAGAGTCTGGACCAGACAATCCAGTGACTGATATCATGAGCATCGGTCCACGCAATGGGGATCGATGACATGTATCAACCAAGTCAGTGACCACCCGATCCTGTTAGTCGCCTTTCATGGCAAGCATAGTCGCCTTTTACGACAAGCATAGCCGCCTCCTACGGCAAGCATAGTCACCTTTTACGGCAGCATAGTCGCCTTTTACGGCAAGCATAGTCGCCTCCTACGGCAAGCATAGTCGCCTCCTACGGCAAGCATAGTCGCCTTTTACGGCAAGCATAGTCGCCTTTTACGGCAAGCATAGTCGCCTCCTACGGCAAGCATAGTCGCCTTTTACGGCAAGCATAGTCGCCTTTTACGGCAAGCATGGCCCCATGGAACCAGAAACGTACACATTATAAGCCACAGAAGCACCATCAGATTGCCATAAGTATACCTTAAAGAGTATACTTGGGTTTATGCATATACTATTAATGAACCGGATATGCATGTACCTAATAATAAAATAGATAACATCAATAAAATATACAAATCACAATGTTGTCAATATCCCTGCATCTACGTTGTAATTACATAGTTACTGGTTTTTTCATCATGTATACAAATAGTTAAGCATTGCATATGTATGGTAAAACGATGCCACCGTACCTGTATGCATCTTCGGATACGTTGATGAATCCCTTCACTCCCGTCGTCTCGGTCCTACTGGTCAGGTTGACGGTGTTGCCAAAGAGACAGTAGCGTGGCATCCTCTTCCCAATCACCCCCGTGACCACCTCCCCTGCGTGTATCCCTATGGTGATCTGGAACAGATGAGGTGAGGTGAAATTGGGTTTAAAGTCGCGTCCAAGATTGTGTGGCTGCTTGTACTAGTCCGGACTGATGCCGATTAAAAGTGCTAGCTCACTGAGATACCATGCCGCAGTTGAATACCCCACTCCGACACAGTATACTGACTCCGAGCCGACCAGTTCTTGTGTTAGCCCCTAATGCCGAGAGCCAGACAGGGTAACAACAAGTACCATCTTTTAACGTCTTTTGGTCCGGGGATCGAACCCCGGACCTTCCGCTCTCGGAGCGGACGCTCTACCACAAGACCACGGAGGCGGTCATGGAACAGATGACAAAGGTATATACAGTAAACTACGGTTATAACGACCTAAAAGGGACCACTAAGTTCATTATAACCGTTGTTCGTTGAGACCGTAGTTCGTTATAACCATATATACAACATAAATACAGCACAAAACAGTTCATTATATCCGTTAGTTATTTATAAGCGTGTTCGTTTACTGTAAATATACATTTACGTCGTCTTCAGAAGTTTTATTTCAATATGATGAAGGGGACATGTACACCAATAATGGGCTTCGTGCACATGTGGGGAATCGAACCCGGGCTTTTGGCGTGACGAGCGAACGCTCTTACCACTGGGCTACCCCAAGACACCATGTACATGCATGTTTCACCTCCTGCCTGCTGATCATAATGTTGATTAGTCCTACTTGGAGTGGACCCAATGAAGCCATCAAATTAAATATGCATCTTGACACTAGAGTGAGTGAGGGTTTATGCGCTTGGAGCAGTATTTCCTTAACACTGCCAGCTTAATTTGGATATAAGATCTGTACGGCATGGTATGCTTCTTACAAACAATGGATCACAATTTGGACGAATCAAGGATTCGAACCAACGGATTAGCGGATCCTGACAGCTAAGGGATGCAACTCTGCCATACCTTCACATCTGTGGCCAACTAATCTTTTGACAACGTCATGTCACCACAAGCCAGAATGAAAACGTCAAAGCCAATTAGTTATATGTGCTCGAATTTGTCACGTGAAAATGAGAACGATTCGTGACTCTCTCACTCACTCATCTTTTCCTGCTTCATACAAAGGACTCACCATGAGGGGTTTGCCATCAGGGTCTCTGAGGTCTTTGGATATCTCCATCATGTCCAGAGATAGCCGCGCTATACATCTGGCGTGGTCAACACACGGCTCCGGTAGACCACTCACAACCATGTACTTGTCGCCCACCGTCTCCACCTGGGGCAATATATATACGTATACATTAAGTACTTACAAAAGTATATTCATCAAAACAAAAGGGCTAAACTTTTAACAAAAACATAATTCCTAAGGTATGAAATATATTCTTAGTAACGCCGATTAAACTCTCCATCAGACAAAGATTAACAGGTAAATGCAAAGTCTAAACTCTAAGTAGCCCATTTGTAAGCGAGGGGTGGTCGGGTAGCCTAGTGGTTAAAGCGTTCGCTCATCACGCCGAAGACGCTTGTTCGATTCCCGACATTGGTACAATGTTTGAAGCCCATTTCTGGTGTCCCCCGCCGTGATATTGCTGGAATATTGCTAAAAGCGGCGTGAACCCATACTCACTCAATACCATTTTTTAGCACCATAAGAGACACTCATATGTTCATCATCTCATGTGAACAAAGAAATTGTTCCGGTCGGGATTAGATACACTCAAATCTGGTTTAGATTCCGCATGTTTCCAAATTAAATTAATATTTGAAACTATAAAAAAGTTTCTTGTTAACTTCAACGCGGATTTAACTCCACAGAGGGTTGTGCACCTCTGATGATGTCGCAATGTGTGCAGTGAATGTTGTATAACACAGAATGAAACTCATGTATTATACAACAGTAATTATACATAGACAACATGCATTTAGTATACATTTATGGAACTGTTCACTATGGATCTATAAGTCCGTGAATCGTTGTCATTGCTCAGGGCCCCGTACCACAAAGTTATGCTATCGCTACGACAGTCGTAAGTCTATGCTAGAGAGTAACGATCACCTTAGAGCCACGATCGCATATACAAAATATATATTGGAATATACAAAAGCACAGTTCCGCTTTAGTCCACATCAGTTATCTATTGACACGGGTAGATATGTATATTATGTAACTGGACAACAACGACTAGGCTTTGTAATCTGGGCTATGTAGTGAGTGAGTATGGTTTTACGCCGCTTTTAGCAATATTCCAGCAAACACGCCCCTTGGCTATGTAGAGACAGAATACCACTTTCTGCTAATCTGCAATGTGTATAAAGATCTCCAGAAATATTGTGTTCATCCATCACTGGGAAAATTTAATAAACTCATGTCTACCTCAAATGAAACAGTTTTAAGAAATTTAGCAATCTTATCTTCAATGCAATGAATGTTAGGAAACTTATATTATTGTGATCTGCAAGCTCGACGCAGTGTTATAATGTATAACTGGACTGAGCTGTATACTGTATTATATAATCTGCCATGGGCCGATGGCCTACATTTGTACGAAACAAAGAATTGAATTGACAATGTTATCGACACTACAAAATCCAATCCGAAAAAAAACTGTTATCACGATAGGATAAAAAAGCAAATGAGGTGACCTTGTAGTTTTTCCTTCCTTAATATAAACGTATGAAAACGGGAATACCATTGGCCTGGACCAAATATGCGGAGAATTTCTGGACAAATGGGTTCACAGAATGAAAATGGGTCGTGTCATCATATAAGCTTCCCGATAGTGTATGTCTGTAAACAAATATATTTACATATCATCCGGTACTCTATGTTGATCGGGGATTACTGACTCCATTATCATATTCAAACGTAGTTTCAATTAGTTAAACAAATTTTGAAACTAAGATTAGTTTAAGTGAGTGAGTATGGTTTTACGCCGCTTTTAGCAATATTCCAGCAATATCACAGCGGGGGGACACCAGAAATGGGCTTCACACATTGTACTCATGTCAGGAAGCGAACTTAGGTCTTCGGCGTGACGAGCGAACGCTTTAACCACTAGGCTACCCCACTGCCCCAGATTAGTTTAAGAACAGCATAGTATATGTACGCAATTAATACCTTTTCGTATGGTCAATATCATATGTTAAGAAAACAAACATATTCCTGTAGGCCTTCTGGCACGGAAATACAATAACTTATGTTATTCTGTAATAACAATATCCCTAGTGCATGTTATTTATGACATGGAAACACATGGAATTATTTACCTTAAATATATTCGGGTTTTCCTTAGGATCCAACAAAACATCAAACTTGGTATACACGCTGTTGAGGAGCTGAACTATCTTCATTGCGCCCATGCCATCAGAATTCTTGGCGCAAAAGTCACCAAATCCCACAATCCCACTGAACATCAGAGTGACGTCATTGTATTTCCGGGCAGGCACTGGGCGTTGGTGACGTAATTCGTTGGCAACGGAAGGAGGTAAAATGGAGTACATCAGACTGAAAAAAGCAACATCCTAGATACAATACACGATATGACATAACAAAAACGACATGATATTGCGCGAAAACCGTGGGTTCTGACAGCAACGACGTGTCTGGCTAAACGGGGTTTAATGTCGCGTTCATGATTATTGCACTTATATGTGTGATCGTGTGCGTGTTTGCTGCTTGACTAATGCCGATTTTATAGTGCTAGCCCACCTACATACCATGCCGCAGTTTAACATGAATACCTCATTCAGACACACTAAACAGATTTCGGGCCGACCAGTTCTCTTTTAGCACCTTAATACCGAGCACCAGGAAGGGCAACAACAACTACAATCGTTTAAGGTCTTTTGGTATGACGCGGCTCGGGATCGAACCCCGGACCTTCCGCTCTCCCAGTAGACCAGGAGTTGCCTCAAACTATAATAGTGAGTGAGTGAGTGATTTTGGTTTTACGCCGCTTTTAGCAATATTCCAGAAATATCACGGCGGGGGACACCAGAAATGGGCTTCACACATTGTACCCATGTCGGGAATCGAACCCGGGTCTTCGGCGTGACGAGCGAACGCTTTAACCACTAGGCTACCCGACCGCCCCCATACTATAATAACAGTTAAGATACTGAACAGCGTCAGGCTTGTTTCTTATAATCCAGTGGTTCCTGTCACAAGATCCTACGCCAACCGTTAAGCAAGACCCTTCCTTGTCCAGGATGGTCATATCTCTCAACAAGCGAGTACAATCCTACAGATCGGCCTTATCTCAAAACGCAACTCCATCAATGAAATAGCACCGCTTTGAAGATTAATTAAGTCTAGTTGATTCGAGTTCTTTGGACGCGATGTCACTTCGAGTCATCCTGGGCTCTGAGCGGATTAGACGGGAGCGATCTAAACACAGCACTGCGATAGACGAACATTGAAAGCCAAAGTTTACTGTTGATACCGACGGCTATCAAAGGCGTAACGACAAGAATATCATTACCAAAGAGCGAAGATGATCACTTAATTAGTGAGTTGTGTGACCCCGATGCATTGTGATGGAGACCTTCGCTCGGGCACGGAGCCCATAGGATACGGGCAGGGATGAGGGGCCGCGTATCTGAACTTTCACAGAACCCCGGGGTAGTGCATCAGTTTTCAAGATTACAGGGAAGCATTTTTCAATTGTTTTCCCTTTCCCCAGTAAAGCCACTTAACGCTCAACAAACAGGGACAGAGACGAGGAAAAGGGAAATAAGTCACAAGGATGATTATTTTCAATGAAACAACACAAACACGCAAGCAGTACAGAGAACTTATCAGCATCACTTCCCGGTATCATTTGACTTAAAGGAAAGTATTAGGTTTCCGGAATTAAAAATGCATTGGTCTGTACTTGTAAACGACGTTAGTATTCCCACGTTAGTATATGCGTGGCAGAATTGAAAGGGGTTTGATTATCGCCCAGGAAAGTCACACCTATTGAAACCAGGATCTTTGTCAATCATGTGAATAGTCCACATGATAAATTGAATTCGTAATGTTTTGTCAGTTGTTTCAGCTGCGTAGAAGTCATGTTCATGTGCGTTTGTTTGTTTGGTGTGTTGTTTAACGCCGCACTCAGCAATATTCCAGCTATGTGATTGTAAATAATCGAGTCTGGACCAGACAATCCAGTGATTGATATCATGAGCATCGATTCACACAATTGGGATACGATGACGTTCATCAACCAAGTCAGCGTGCCTGGCCACCCGATCCGGTTATTCGCGTCATACGACAAGCATGGGTTACTGAAGACCAATTCACGCCCGGATCTTCACGGGTCTTCATGTAAGTGCTGGTGAGTGAGTGAGTGAGTGAGTGAGTGAGTGAGTGAGTGAGTGAGTGAGTGAGTGAGTGAGTGACTGAGTGCTTCACACATTGTATCAATGTGGGAAATCATACACGGGCCTTCGGCGTGACGAGCAAACGTTTTAACCAATGGGCTACCAAACGACTCTTATTGTGTAAGGAAGTAGAGCAACACAAAACACTCGAAGCGCTGACTGCAAAATAAATTCTGACTCCAAATTCTAGCTCCACCCCTTCCCCGAAAAACGCGAATATTAAATGGTCGATCTCTGATATAACGGGGCGGTAGGGTAGCCTAGTGGTTAAAGCGTTTGCACGTCACGCCAAAAACCCGGGTTCGATTCCCGACATGGGTACAATGTGTGAAGCCCATTTCTGGTGTCCCCCGCCGTGATATTGCTGGAATATTGCTAAACGCGGCGTGAAACAATACTCACTGTAATATAACCTGTATGATCAATCACCAATATTCGTGAATAATTCTTTTTCTAAGAGACGGTGGGTTAAGCTGGGGTAGGGGTTAATATATTATCAGGAAAATGATAACAATAATTTACAAGGGACATGGTGACGCTACGTAACTTGGACACAATTCGATGTCAATACATCACTTGGGAAATAGTGACAACACCTCACTTGGCATATAGTTACAGCAAGCTATTTGGAAAAAAAACTATGAAACAGTTATTAGGAAAATACTTCACACACAAAATTATTAAAATATTACTGATGACAAAGCGTCACTATGAAAACGTTGCTCATAAAAAGTGAGGTGTGGTGAAATGGGGTTTAACTTCGCGTCCAAGATTATTGTACTTATATAGCGACGTGCATGCACGTGTGTGTGTGTGTGTGGCTGCTTGTACTAGTCCGGACTGATGCCGATATATAGTGCCAGCTCACTGAGATACCATGCCGCAGTTTAACATGAATACCCCACTCAGACACAGTATACTGACTCCATGGCGGGCAAGTCCTTGTTTTAGCCCCTTAATGATCCAGACAGGGTAACAACAAGTACCATCTTTTAACGTCCTTTTGGTCTAACAACCGGGGATCGAACCCCGGACCTAGCGTTCCCCGGGCGGAAGCTCTACCACCAGACCACGGAGGCGAGAAACTACATACTAAAAGCGGTTAGTGCTGTGACCAACCTGTCCGTCTTTTTCTTCTCATCTTCCAAGTCTCTGTAGGTCTGCTGCAACTGCTCCGTCAGCACTTCCAGCTTCTGCGTCAGCTTGTACTCCGCCTCAAAGTGTTCAGACAACAGCACCAGGTCGCGAGTAGCGTCGTGGAGGGGGATGTCGCTCAGATACAGGCCACGTCGGTTCAAGTCGTCGAGGTTCATGACGCTAGGCGAGCACAAGAACAGGATGCAGTTGGTCTCCTGCACATAGATCATCTCGCCCTTCAGACGCATACGGGAGTTCTCTTCGTTCTGATTGTCCATGTTTGGCAAATCCAGGACACCCTGCTTCGTCCTCATGACGTACACGGTGTTGATGTGAGACAAGATGTTCGCAAAGGAGAGATCCATATGGGGTCGGATCATGTCGAAGAGATCTGTGAGCTTGTAGTTTTTGCTGGCCAGCTGTGGGATAACACGGGCTATTGAAGAACCGATCTGCTTGACGACCAGGTTCTTGTCAAACAATACGTGGAAAGGAAACGTTCTGCAAAATGTAAAAGGGCTCATTTTCTGAACTGTTGACAGTGTCTTTTGATGTTCTAGATCTAATTTGGCGTTATTGCTCTGGTTGTTTTTCTCGACGATTGTAAACTGAACGTGGTCAATGCCGTTGTCCTTGCTCTTGTAAACGTTAACGTCCACCTCCGAGGCGTGGATCTTCTTGGCCACCGTCTTGACAATTCCTATAACTATATGCTCCAGACCCTCTCTCTCGGAGTAGTAATGTAGAACAGTGGCGCCATCTCCTTCCCGTTCCGTGCACCGGAAGGATGGCGCGCGCATGCCTGGATAGATGGTTGCAAGGTGATCATGCAAGGCATCCAAATTCTGAAGAAAGTCTTTCGTAGTTGAGCCCAACACTTTAAGAATCTTGTCATAACCCGATTCTTCACAGTACTGGAAGAACATACCGCCAAACGCCTCCAGAATGTCCGCTGCCGGTAGTTCTGACAAACACAAACGAACACACACTGATATCAAATTGTTAAATTGTACATCAACCATCAAAATACAAGTCAACCACAACAGTCAACGCATAAAGAGCACCGATCCTCGGAATATTTCGATACGATGACAAACAATCAGCCTAGTCACTGCGTCGAGCACCCCGAGCCTTGTTGTAACCTGAAATCTCCATTGTGGTGTCAGTGAGTGAGTGAGTATGGTTTTACGCCGCTTTTAGCAATATTCCAGCAATATCACGGCGGGGGACACCAGAAATGGGCTTCAAACATTGTACCCATGTCGGGAATCGAACCCGGGTCTTCGGCGTGACGAGCAAACGCTTTAACCACTAGGCTACCCGACCGCCCTGTCAATTCATAAAACCATATAAGATCCGTCAAAGAAGAGATTGCATTTTGCCTGCTTGGTTAAATTCTTGTCCTTGAATTACAAATGGCGATTTTTAACTTTATGACTGCAAAACCATAGCACGGTGTAACAGATCATTTTTGGCGACCAGCAAATGCAAGTAGACAAGGGAGGCAACTTATCACATTAAGATGCTTTTTCAAAATCCACAGATGAGAATCATAAACTAGGTCAAATATGCTTTATGTCACTTGTTCCACATATCGGTGAGAAACGTGACAACTTAACTCAATTATCTACAGCCGAGGTCAAGACAATGCAGTCCAAGGACTGAGGTTACAAGTTGCACTTGCCATGGCTACCGCGGTAGTCGCACTACGTTTACATCGCCGTGACCGGTTGTCAGTCAGAGATGCAGTTACTGTCACTCACCCAACACCTTGGACGCCGCTCCGACGAGGTCGTACGATATACCGTCGTCGTAGACGTGGCGGACGAGGAAATGACCGTCCATCTCTAATAGGGCTTCTCGCCTGAAAGAAAAACGCAATGTTTATATTTCTTCATCAACATTACGTATAAAACTGACAGCGGACCAACTATTTAATACTCCTTGATATTTGTCAGAGACAGAATATTATTTGGCGACCGATTCAATGCATGCATTTTATTCTTTTCTCTAAAAGATTAAACTGCAGCTTTCATTTACAAAAGCAAGACAAATTATTAAATAATAGTAATTATAAATATGCCAGTCTTCGCCCATGGGCCACACTTCGCCAATGGGCAGGCCCATGGGCGAGATAGTGTAAATATTGAGTTTTTTAACAATTGTTTTTTCATTTTTTCTTCCTTGGTATGTTCCCATGAAAACAGCATGTTTAATTTTGTAAATACCTTTGACCGAGAGTCGGCAAAGACCGTAGAGTTTCTGGACTTTTGGGTTTCCAGAATTAAAATGGGACGTGTTATTTCCATTTTTTTTTTTAAATTATTGTTCCCACTCCTAATCAAATGAAATGTACTTTTACATTGCAATCACCTTTATTGCAAATATATCATCATAGCTGTTTGTTATATTTGGAGTCTCGAAAAGTAGTAGTGATATCACGGCGTAATAGCTTAGTGTTGGATAAGTGAGTGCGTTTTTGGTTTAACGCAGCTTCTAACAGTATTCAGGTGTATAACGGCGTGTCAGTTTGATGTGGGTGTTGTGGTGCAGGTCTTATACCACTTTGGTGAAAACCCGAGCGAATCTAGGATTCTAACCTACGGTCATAACTTCCTGGCAAGCCTAAGGGACGCAAGTCTGCATGGCAAGTTGCTGCGCCTTTGACGATGGGGCAAGCTGGCACTTACAGTGAGTGAAGTTTTACGACGCTTTTAGTAATATTCCAGCAATATCACGGCAGGGGCTTCACACATTGTAATCATGTCGAGAAAAGAGCCCGGGTCTTCGACGTGACGAGCGAACGCTTTAACCACCAGGCTACCCCAACGCCCCGCTGGCACAAGGAAATGAAGCTCAAAATACTGTCTAACGGAAGTGAATCTACACGTTTTGATTATAGCTTTGCACAGGGATTTATAAATACAGCTTGCATTTGCTACTTGTATTTGTCTGTTTCCATTGTAGGGTATTTTTCAACTACAGTCTGTAAACATTCTTCAGTCGAGTGTCTAGTGCCCTGAGTAAATATTAATGGTGAGGTGAAATGGGGTTTAACGTCGCGTCCAAGGTTATTGCACTTATATAGCGACGTGCATGTACGTGTGTGTGTTTGTGTGGCTGCTTGTACCAGTCCGGACTGATGCCGATTTATAGTGCTAGCTCACTGAGATACCATGCCGCAGTTTAATATGAATACCCCACTCAGACAAAGTATACTGACTCCGAGCCGACCAGTCCTTGTTTTAGCCCTTTAATGCCAAGCGCCAGACAGGGTAACAACAAGTACCATCTTTTAACGTCTTTTGGTATGACGCGACCGGGGATCGAACCCCGGACCTTCCGCTCTCCAGGCGGACGCTCTACCATTAGACCACGGAGGCGGTCGTAAATATTAATGGAAATTGAAAACAACATGCTTTCTGCCGACGAAGGTCATAACATACAGCCGATTTTATTCATATAAATTACCTTGCCATTCCTGGGGGACAGAACAATGTATGTCTGTTTGAAACATCAATTTAATGTAATCAAAATAATAGACTGCATGTAGACTGCATATAATTATATTTCAATTCTAGTGAAAAATATACATTCAATAATACTGTTTTTCTTCCAGCTAACATTAAGGCCTACAAGGGACCGACCATTTGATGTCCTTGGGGGACTGGGTTTTTAAATCGAGATTAGATATTTTTTCGGCTACAGTTCCAAAACCAGGGTTTTTTAAAACTTAGAGCCTGTAATTTGTGCGGCAGGCAATTGTTTTTACAACAGTCTGAAGTAATATGATTTTATTTCAAGATTTCTCGGGGACAATCTTTATTTTTCGATAAAATCCCTTCAGAATATCAAATGGTCGGTACCTCATGGATTTGAGGCTTCTAATCATGTGCAATGATGTGACATCAGTTATATATTCGGAAATCAATGGAAACGTGTCGCATATCACAAGGCTTTGATCCGCCTTGTAAGCCTCTGGCCCCACCTTGTAAGCCATTGGCGTCAAACAGTATAACTGAGAGTGAGTGAGTGAGTATGGTTTTATGCCGCTTTTAGCAATATTCCAGCAATATCACGGTGGGGGACACCAGAAATGAGCTTCAAACATTGTACCCATGTCAGGAATCGAACCCGGGTCTTCGGCTAGACGAGCGAACGCTTTAACCACAAGGCTACCCGACCGCCCTTATAACTGAGAGTTCCATTGACTCGAAAATAAACAAACCCAGCTAAATCCGTCATACTGGTCTCCTTTTATACATTCGATGAACGCCGAAATAACAAAATGGAATCAACTGTACTATTGAGCATCTCCAACTTCTCTTTAATCAATAGTTCCATTTGCTAAATTACAGCAACACTGCAACCTGTTCAAGCTTACTGTTAAATAAATCTCTTGTTCAATATGATTTTGTTTTCTTTCATTTTCAGCTTATTTCAAGTCTGTGAGCAAGAGACAAGCCAATCTGGCGTATGCTCAAACACTTCCGGTTGCGCATGCTCCATAAGCGTCAGAATAGTCCGGAATGAACTGCTTCACCTCCTAGTCTATCAAGACGCCAGCGCCTCCCCGACCATGGCGAGGATCGCTGACCTGACTTGGACGCCACAGTCAATTGTCTCAGGCAGATTAGTGCCATAAAATTAAGTCGAATTTCATGCGAGAATGGTAAGCAGTCAATAAACAGCAAGAAGTGGAGCTTTCTTTGATTGGAGCTCCGCATGGATGTTGTGTGTGTTCAGACACATATCTCGCTTACTCCCACCCCATGTTAAACTCGCAATGAATATCGGACTGCCCCGCGTCGGAATGTCACTCTTGTTTTGCCTTCACATCAACAACAGCTAATGGACCAGTTACCACTGGGGAAATGGCTGCATCATGGATGATCTACATCCTCGTCTGTGACAGTCATAGATTCAGATATCAATTGTTACCCTCATGATGATGAAGAAGAAGAAGAAGAAGAAAAAGAAGAAGAAGAAGATGATGATGATGATGATGATGATGATGATGATGATGATGATGCTAATAATAGTAGTAGTAAAATTAATAATAATATACACGTAGACCAAACATAAAAAGTACTACCATCATCGACATCATTGATAATAATCATCCACTATAAGGTAAATACGTACAGCTTGGGTTTCGTTCAACAAATTGATATTAACCCAACGACAATAAATGACCAGTATGTTAAAGTATGAGAGTTACGAAAAACGTAGCACTAAGATCACCGTTCAAGGGCCATTAGATGTAGCTGCGCATGTACATCGCGATGGTGAGTATTTCACATATGACCCCTTATATTAGCCTGTTTCTCCAAGATTCCACGAACAACCTTCACAGGAATTCATAGGAATTATGTGAATAAACTGTAAAGCTTTAAAGGTCAGTATATTATCTTTCCATTCATATTAAACACCTAACACAGTGAGAACGTTCGACATTTACAAGGAGAATGTCAACGTATCAATGACACTGTTCATGTCAACCGAATGCATTTGTATATGGTTCGAATGAACAGCTTTTAACAGTATTCCAGTCATATCGCGGCGTGTCAGCTTAATGTGGGAGGAAAGCCCGAAGTGATGCAGGTCTCAGACGTTTACCACTTCGGTGAAACCCACGAGCAAGGGTATGGTGCTGACAAACCTAAAAACATAATCGGGGCGAACCGGGATTCGAACCAACAAACATTGGTTTCTGGCGTGCCCAAGGGACGCAACTCTGCACAGCGAATGGCGGCGCCTTAGACGTCTGGGCCAACCGTGCCCCTCACATATGGTTCGAATCCCAGCACCATACCATTACTGTTTCACCACAGTGGTAAACACCTGCATCACGTCGGGCTTTCCTCTCACATTAAACAGACACGTCTACATATAACTGTATTACTGTTGAAAGTGTTTAAAACTAAAACCCACGCAGAATGTTATGTCTAAACGTTATGTCTAACTGTTGAGCGGATTTTCTGTTTACCGCGGAAGAAAGAAACACGGAGCCATGTACTGGTGGGCTCGGTTCAACCATCATAATGTAATGAAAGCTTCCAACATCAGTCTTCTACCTTCCTGGTAGGTCAGGTTAGGTGAGGTGCAAAGAGGTTTCAAGGTTATTGCACTAACATAGCGACACGCCTGTATGTATCCTAGTCCTGACTAATGCCGGTTTCATAGTGCTCGCTCATTGTGATGCCATCCGCATTTTTACATGGTGAGTGAGTGAGTTGTGTTTAACGCCGCTTTTTACAGTATTCCAGTTATATCACGGCGTGTTTACATGGATACCGAACTCAGTCATAGTGTACTGACTCGGACCCGACCGATATTTGTTTTATCCCCTTATGCCGATACCAGTGAAGCCGTAAAAGGTGACTATGTTTGTCGTAAAAGGCGACTAATAGGATCGGGTGGTCAGGCTCGCTGACTTGGTTGATGCATGTCATCGATCCCAATTGCGTGGATCGATGCTCATGATATTAATCACTGGATTGTCTGGTCCAGACTCGATTTTTTACAGACCGACGTCATATAGCTGGAATATTGCTGAGTGCGGCGTTAAACAACAAACCAACCAACCAACCCTTATACCGAGCGCCAGGCAGGGTAACAATAAGTACAATCAATTAACGTCCCCGGCCAAGAATCAAACCACAGTCCTGTCACTCTCCGGGCAGACGCTCCATCCACTACACTACGACCTCTTTATAGCAGGCGCAGACCCTCCTCTTATGCCCAGACTGGTCTGCAGCCGTACAAGCCAACAGAAAACATTGACCACTGTCCAGTCCAAACACTTAATATCAAGTGACCTCAACGTCGACCTGGCCAGGAAGTATCCACCTGGTCAGCTGC